AGCAGTACCATCAGCTGGATCATCCCCTTCCCCCCAAACTTCATGAACTCGTTGACTATCCCATCCGCTCCTGCTGCTTTGTGGCACTTCAGCTTGTTCACACACGCCTCAACCTCGTCCTCAGTGAACTCCTTTTCTAGTTCTACGGGGCCGGAGGGGGCGCCGCAAAAAAAAACACTCCCCCCTCGTCGGACAACTAGTAATAATAATGCACTTTGGTAGGGGGGGTCGGGGGAGAGGGGGAAAGAGCGAAAGATCTGTGGGGTTTGTTTCTTCTTCGACACACTCCCCCGTAAACCCTCGTTTCTTATGTAGTAGGGCAGCGGTCGCCGCTGTGTTTCTGATTGAGACATTTCTTATTGTGTGGCCCAGATTGAGCTATGTTTCTTAACCCTATTTTCTTATTTTTCGTGAAAAAGTGAGCCTCCATTTCTTAACGGGCGCCAACTGTAAGCGGGCGCCAACTGTATATTCTCAGATTTTCCGAAGAAGTCTAACTCCAGTACAAAACTGCCATCACAAATTAACCATCCGCGCACACCCCCTCGTGTACAATGTTAATGTCTGAGATTGCAGCCCTTGCGATACTCGACACATTGGCGGTCCGTGATTTTCCACACGATCCTTTCATCATCGAGATCGGTGAGCTACAAGCTGGATTGTTGAAGCAGTCAGTGCTGTGCGGTCCGATTGTTGTGAAAAAAAAGCTCCAAACTCCTTTGCTTCTAGCTAGACCTACATATATACATACACACATGACCGCAGGCAGTCAAATCGACTGAGTGAGGCGACAAGAACATATGAGGGAAGAGCTGCGCTGAAGCTTGCGGCCCCATAAACTCAAACAGGCGCTGATTCGCCGTTGCAAAGGTGCTTGAAGCGTTTCAAAATCGGACCGTACAGACAGCAGCTTCAATCCAGCTTGTACCGATCTCGATGATGATATTTAGAAGGATCATTTGGAAAATCAAGGACCGCTAATTTGTAGTGTAGTATCGCAAGGGGTACAATCTCAGACACTAACATTGTGCACGAGGAGGGTTGGGCCGACGGTTAATTTGCGATGGCAGTTTCGTACTGGAGTTAGACTTTGGAAAACTGAGATTATGTATGTCCTGGAGGAAACCTGCCATCCCCACCGCGGCTTATTTAGTGGGGTGGGGTCTGCTTTGCCCCCGCCTTTTCTCCCCTGCGGTGTTTTCCTTTTTCTAGTTTTTATCGCGAGAAGGTTCAATCAAGCCATCCATCCTTGTATCCTTTTTCCACGTCGACCGTCCGCGGAGTCGACGTTTACTCACGACCTGACCTATAATACTAGAGCAGCAGCAACGAAGGTGGATCACTGCTTCATCTTTCCCGGTCACATGTGTGTTCTCAATTGGGTGCAGGCCAGTTGCATGTTTTGAATGTGCAAGCTTTACCCTCAGGGGAGATAGTCTATCTATCGCTGTGTGCTGCTCGGGAAACCGTGGAAATTATGCTGCAAACCTGCGATTTCTGCGATTCCCTTGAGAGCATCACGTTGGATCGGGCACAGCACACCAAGCCACCTGTATCACCCCCGTAGCTGCACTATAACCCCCAGAACTGATCGCCAGAGTAGGCTAGGGTCCATGGCCGACAAAAGAAGGCGCCGGGAGCTTCGGTGAACCTCACAGACGGCTCCGCAAAGGCGGCGACTGCGGCGCTCCGACCAAAGAGACCATGATACGACTTCTACTGCTGCGATCAAGGCCGCCTATTGTCATTCTCCACGCCCTCTTGAACAGATCGCCCCACTGCGTTTAGAGAAGCACTTCCTCTCACAGAGAGAGAGGAAGAATGGTCTATCCTAGACGCCTGCCGACGACCTTGCAGGGCTGAGCGAGCCGCGGTACTCCCGGCGACGACCTCGCGAGACATGCCTGGCGGAGGGCTGATGCCCACAGCAGGAGGTATTTGAGGCCGTCCTAACCCATAACCAGCAGCAGCAACTGCTTCC